ATTCGTAACCGTCAGAAAAGTGAACTGCTTATTCTCCTTGTCTTCGATCTCTTTGGCTAGCTGCGTAGCGTGGTGGACATCGGCTGGCCAAATGCGACCCTGGAAGAAAGCTTGCAAGGCAGCTCGCGAAGGTTGTCTAACTCTGGCGGTTTCCAGGAAATCCAGCATGGCAGCGTCGACGGATCTGGCGGCTTCGTGTTGACGAAGTTCGACTCTTGGAATAGTTTTTGCTTGGACTTGGGCTTCTATCTCCCTTTGCAGGCGTGGACCTCCGGCCAAAGGTTGTAACTGCTGGAAGTCGCCCACGAAGACCACGAAGGGACATGGCGCGAGCTCGCCTAAAGCTGTTTTCAGTTTCTGCCACACTGCCGCGTCGATTTGACTGATCTCGTCGAAGATGATGAGATCGTATTGTCGAAGGCGTCCTGGGGGAACATAAGGTGCATCAGCGTCGCGAACAACTTGGAAGGCTGCATGTATGGTCTCCATGGTGAGGTTTTCCGAATTCGGAAGACGAAGGCGATACATGCTAACCAGAAGTCCGATCGGACCTGCCACGAGCACGCGGCAGCCGTCCTGGAGCGCCTCGTGTACTGCGGCGATGACGACCTCAGTCTTGCCTGTTCCGGGTCCTCCGGACACATGCAGAAGTCTGTTCGAGACCTCCATGGTTGCGGCGTCTGCGATGGTGGTTCCCTCCTTGATGTGCCGTAGCACTTCTTTTTGCTCGAGCGACCAAGTCCTGGAAGGTAGAGAGTAAATGCGACGAGCGGACCAAGTGTTTGCATCCTCCAGTCCGTCTCGCACTTTGAGCAGCAGGAGAACGGAAGCTTCGACTCTGGCTTTGAATGTAGCTAAGCGGTCGTTGCCGATTCCACGTAGAAGCAGTTCTGTTTCGATGAGCCCAAGAAGCTTGCCCACGTCTGGGTTGAAGATCTGGGGATCGCGATCGAGTAGTTGGAACTCATCCAGGCAGAGCACGGCCTTCAGGTGCTTGCAGCCTTCGGGCGCTGTGAAGGAAGCTCGGCGGAGTTTCTCGTTTTGGAAAGCAATGCCGTAGTGCACGTCATCGTTGCTGGTGTCTGGAAGCAACCGGAATTCGAACATGCTCTTGAGGAAGCTGGCGGCCCATGCGCCGACATAGATGTCGAGAAGCTCGAAAGGAAAGCTCATGGCAATCCCGCAATTCCGACCTTGTCGACAGCCTCTGACATTTCTCTTCGTGACCTTCTTGTTGGGCACGTCCACAAGCTGAAATTGTCGCAACCATTGGATGTAGGACAGATCTTTGGCACAACCACAGGTCTCCGAGTTCGCTGTGAGGCAGGACTGGTAAACTTCGTAATGGTCGCGAGATGTGTTCCGGGCGGAGCTGCCGGGAATAGGGGCGAAGAGAGCCTGTCCGGTGAACGAATGTTTCACCAGAGGCAAAGCAGCCAGCTCCATGAACATTTCTTGTTGCAGTGGTGACTTCTTGCACATCAGCCGGTAAGTCTGGCGCCATCGACTATTCTCCGATGGAGATTTTTCAAGGTTTGCCTGCTGGGGGACGAAGGTCAAAGCGTCTGATGCTTTTTGGACGTAACCGGCGACATACTGCAGGAGGTTGTGGCTGCCGTCGCCGCATTGTACATCGCAGCGGCTTCGAAAGAGGTCTTCCAACAGATGCACGAACTCCGAGTTGTGTTTCTCGCCGCTTCGACCGTTGAGATCACTCGCCGTCCAACCTGGCAAGAGATCTGCCCACAGTACACAATGGATGTGAAGAGTGCCTCTCGACTGGAATTCAAAACGGAACGACCAGTGTCGAACCTTGGCAATGCCGATCCGTGCGAGGCTCACTCCGTTCTCTAGAATGTGATGCTCCAGCAGCGCCGTGAGAGTCTGATAGAGATGTTGCGTGATGGCACATTGCTGGTCACTCAGGGAACCTTCTTTGAAGACAAATTCGTGGAGGATGTAGCGCCACTCCGCAGGGGCGATCGTGAAGAAGACTGTGGGCAACGACTTCTCTAGCAGCTGTGTCTCCTCCCATTCTTGTCGACATACGTCTTCCATCTTGCGAACTTGTTGCTGCCAATAAACCGAGAAGGCATCCATGTCGGATGCGATCTGCTCCGGGGACACCTTCTTTTCATCGGCAATACTTTGGATCGAGGTGATTGTCTTGGCCAGGTAGATGTCATACATCAGGCACTGTAGCGGAAAATCGCGTGCATAATCTAGGCAGCGGCTGCTGAGTTTCCGCATGAACCCGGTCCGAAGGCTCGGATTGTTATTGTGGCCTATCCATCCCAAGGGTAGCAGACGCTGCTTGATGTCCGTATCTGCGAAGCTCGGCAGTGGATACAGCCAAGGCCGAGCGGCTATCTCGATTCCCGGCGTCTGCAACAGAAGCTGTGCCGTTGCCAAGTCCTTGCGGACAGGGCTGTTTACACTCTCCATGAACTTGTTGTGCATCTCGACGAAAGCTGCATAAGTCGAATTGTTTTGTAGCAGCCACGTGAATGCCTTGGCAGCGAGGTCTTGGCGCTGGACTTTTGTAAGACCGATTTCGTGCCAACAGCAACGGACGACAGATCGCTTCTGGAGACTCGTGATGTCCGCATGCCCACCTCGTCGGGATCGGTAGCCGACTTTGATGTGCAGGACGGCTAAGTTCTCGAGCTCCTCCAAGGACAGAAGGCTGCTCAACGGCAGATCACCGTCTTTGATGTGCTCCGACCAGCTTCTCCAAATATCGATCTGTGGCGTGACATAGGCTCGCAGAGCTTGGCGACCAACTCGGGCGGGAGCTGTAGCCAGCAGGTCTCTGGAATCCGGGTCGCAGCCTTGTGAACATGGCTCTGAAGAATGATGGTTTGCAAGAGACCATGTCTTTGTCTTGGAGCGAGCTCCTCGCCGGCCACAGTTCGGACAGAATGTCCAGGAGCCGTGCAAGAGCCAAAGTCCGCTGGCGTCGTCACCAGGAACGTGGGCTGGGTCGCGAGGTCGAGGCTGAGGGAATGTGATGGTGAACTCGTTGGCATTCTCATCGACCCAGGTAGCCATTCGTCCAAGGCTGCTTGCAGTCTTGACTTTGTTATACCGTCGGCGCAGAGCCCGGTCGGAAACATTGTCCATGCTTGTCTGGTCCTTGGTGCTGAAGTCGCAAACTGCATCCTGAACGGCGTTCAAGAAGTCAGACAGAGAGGAAGATTGCCTCGCATGAACTTGTATTGTGTGTACAGCATGTCCGGATAGGGCGCCAAAACCCTTGCTTGATCGTCTGGATGCTTTTGTCTGGACTTCCTCGTTCGCTCGTTGCATGACTTTCAGCATCGTGTCATTTCCTGTGAACCAACGTCGCAGTGTGTTTCTGTGTAGAAATCTCGGCGAAGTCTTGTCGGACACTTCAAAGTTGCCGATGTTCTTCGTCATGGTATCGATGGCTTCCTGGAAAGTCGAGCTATGTTGTAAAGCCTCTGCTATTTGCCGTCTTTCTTCTGCGGTGTAGTTGCGCAGATTCGACTTCTGTCGGCCTAGAAAGCCGCAGGGTGCATCTTCGGTTGCAGCCTTGGTTGCCTCCTCATCGCTCATGTCGATGTCGGTGTCACTCCCATTTGCATAGTACTCCTCGAGCTCTCTTTCCAGCAACATCTCCAAATCGTCCGCGGGCTCGTCACACTTGGCGCTAGCTGCCCTTGCCTCGGTCTTCTCTGCTGTGTCCTTGGCATCTTTTTCTATGTAGACGTCGGAGTCGCTTTCGTCAAGCTCGAACGTTGCGGACGCAGCGAGCCTTGCAAATTTGCGGGGCCGCTCTTCTGGTAATCCGGCTTCCTCTTTCCTGGCATAGATCAGCAAGTAGACCTTCTCCTCGGAGCTGGTCACAACGTGGTCTGTGTCTGGTACGGCCGTGACCCGCTCGTCGTCAAATTTGAGCAACTGATTCTCCTGCTGACGGTAAGCGACGTAGTGGCCGGCGGTTGGCAGATCGCCAATGTGCGCCGCTATCGAGCAAAGGTCGTACTGCTCATGGTGGGCATGAAGCCTTTTGTTGCAGAGGATCCTGTGACGCAGGACTGTTCCGTCCGTGTTCCATCGTTTCAAGCAAAGCACCAAGATGGACGGCCATGCTTCCACACGGCTAGAATAAAGAGGATCTTCTTGAGCACGACCAGAATTGAGGCAACTCTCGGAGAAACAACACCAGTCTTCTACCGCCTCCTGGCGGTCCATTCTGCTGATGTAGTTGTTCAGCGCATCTTGTACTGTCAGCATACCTTGGATAGCCAACTGGACGGACAAGAAAGCTTCTGCTGGAAGGTCTCGGCTAAAATCGCAGTGACGGCATGAAAGAACCGGTACCTCTTTTCCGGCGAGTAGTGGATGGCAGCCGCTCAGCTCGGTCAGAAGGTTCAGAAGGAACTCTGTCACGTCTTCCTGGCGGCCTCTGTAGTACACGTTTGTCAACTCTGTAGGTGCGAAAGGTGTTCTGCTCGACTTCATGGTGGAGACTAGCCGAAACAAGGAAGTTTCTGCCGGCGTTCTTCCTGACGTCAAGGCTGAGACCAGCTGCGGTGTTGATAGTAGTGTTTGCAAGCCCGCATTGACGAAACACGATTGTCCGAGGTTCTTGAGGCCGATGGTCGGCAGCGCCATCGCGGCGCACAGAATCAGCGAGGAGTCAATCGAGATTGATGCGCTGAAGCAAAAGGGTCTTCGAGAACAGAAACCAGCATCAAACAAGTGCGAGTGTCGGCAGGAAGGCAACGCAAGCACACTACTGACATGTTCAGCATCAAGTCTTGTGGCTAGGAAGAAACCTGTCGCGGCATGCACTCAGTTTTGCTTGTTACTTTCGCTCGACTGCTGGGATTCGGACGTCGTCGACAGAGACAGTCCGAGACTCAAGTACGATGAATCAACATCTCCTCCGTCGCGACGTTCTACCAAAAACAGCTGCTTCAAGCAGTCTTCAAAGTCGCGGCTTACCCACGACTCTCAACACGAGAAGGCCTTCAGAGATCGAACAAGCCCTGCGCATCGGAGCTGGTAGCAGTGTCAGCAGGGGCTTGCTTACTGCGGGCGAAGACGGCCGCCACGAAGTTCGCTTCCGTAATCGGCTTATGCTGGATGCATGCGCGAGCTACAACTTCTGCACAATGGGAACTGTAGTAGGTGTTGCTGCCACTCAGCAGGAATAGCATCGACCGCAACGGCGTTTTCGCCGAACTCAACCACTTGAAGAACTCTTTGGCGGCAGTCTCCAACTGCTCTTGCGTAGGGGTAGGTGTTTCTATGTTGGAGCCGAGAGTCCTTTGCTTCTTGACTGCTCGGAAGCTACCTGTGTCCTTCTGAGCCGCCGATCCTTTACCGAAGTTAAGCATGCGCAGGTGCGGCTTGAGATGGTCAATCTCGGCCTTGATCTTGACATAGAACTCTTCAACGATGATGAGCTTCATTTCTTTCGATTCCAAGTGCTCGAATGTAGCCAACAGCGAGGCAGCCGTGAGCGATATGCCAGCACCCACACGCCAAGCATCCTGCGTTTGATCGGCACAGAGATGCGAGTGGTAGGCGGCGGATTTATTGCCGCGAGCGGTGGCTTCGTAGACCTGCTTCAAATTCATGCTGTCGAGTGTGCTGCAGCCATACGGTTCCAGCAGCTGTGCCGCCACGCTGTCCCAAGGATACAGTTTGGTGCGTCTGTGGCTCGCCGGCTGCTCGGTTTGCTCTTCCTTGGAGTTCTCGCCGAAAGCAGCGGAGTTGCCGAAAAGACCGTCCGCCATGATTGGATGAACTAGTGGACTGTGCTAGGTCTTGACAGTTGCCAAACTGAACCGAAAGCTCATTTAAGAATCTTTCATGCGGCTTCAACACATCTTCATGACTGCTTGCTGCCGCCGAAGGAACTCTGGCATGAAGCTGAACAAACAGAGAGCGGAGTAAGAGTGCTTTTTCCTCGAACAGCGGCTTGGAAGATAAGCTTAACGAAAGTGCTGCCAGCACCGGAAGTCTTCCCGACCCTTGATCGTCGGTCGTCGTTTTCATTGGGTGCATCTGCTACAGAACTTCCTTTACTTTCGCTCAAGCTTCACACTACTCACTGCCTCAGTGTAAGAAGCCTCGGCTGCCTGTTTTGCCTTGCGGCGGCTTTTCTTTGGCATGGCCTTGGGGCGCTGCAAAGATCGCCGTAGCGCACGCTGGCGTCGGAATTGAAAGTCCTGTTGAATCGCCTTTCCCAGGACAATCTTGATGCGAGCGTAGGCGTGCTTCAAGTTTTTGCCGTCTAAGTGCTTCAAGAGGTAGGTGATACGGGCCTGACCGCGTGGATCCTCGTACAGGGCTGTCAAGCTGTCGCTGGAGCAGAGGTCGCAGCGTCCATCGGGACCTGCCTTGGCCGGTTGGCCGTTGGCGCCGAAATAACATTTTAGTTGATTCGACCCCGTGCAGGCCCCGTGACCACTATGACAGCCCCACAAATCCATGAGTCCGCCCTTGAACTTGCTCTCTTGGTTGATGGCTGCGATCGTAGACGGTGCGTTGCGATCGGCAATGGTCGGCTCGGCGGTGGCAAGGGAATCCTCGTCGGAGATGTCGATGGGCGAGCCTATCATAGCCACGTCAGCAGCTTCATCTTTCCGTCGACGTTCTTCAAAATCGGGTGGGACCTCTTCTTCGCTGGAGATGTTGATGTTGAGGTAGCTATTCCCGCCAAAAGATTGTGTGAAAGGCATTGCAATCGAAGGCACGAGTTTCAATCAAATGGCTGCTGGCAGGACAGCAAGAAAAGTGTGTGCGCATGGCAAGTGGCAAGCGACTCAGTGCCTTAGGTAGGTGAACAACACAGCGAGTGATGGGCTGTGAGTGAAGCGAGCTTTCTGCAGCCGCGGTCTAGCAATAAAGGCCCTGACCACCAAAGCGACAGCGCCCGCGTTCGGTGCCTTAGCTAAATGTACAATGCATTCCCGGCTGCTGCAGCTATATGGCGGCAGATTCCTGAGATTCGAACATTCGCTTTGTCCGCGGTCAGTCCTGCAAGCTGAAAGTCTTGACCTAGGCCGTCGAACAAGTGAGCATACCGAACCAACGCCGCACCTTTCAAATTTGCAGAAAGTAGTTCGGTCGAGGCACGCAGTCTCTCGCCAGAGAGGTGACGTCTTGTGCCTTGGCAATTGAAAAATCCATAGTCGCACCGTAACGTCGTGTCATTGATATGACAGGGAGTGTTCGACTGCCTTTTTGGCGAGATGACGATGAAGGCGCGAACGAGTTCAGCTCGAGTCCTCCCTCATCTCATTCCACGTGACACTGGACCTGGCCGGAGTGGAGAGGAAACCAAATAGCTGTGCTTCAGGACTGAGGTCCACGCAACGGCTTCTGACCTCGCTCGGCGATCCTTCGCACGCGCCTGCTGATGGCAAATATCTGAACACACGGCCGGCTGTGCTTTTGAGCCGGGCAGCAGGAGCTCGAGGCGGATGTCGATCTTGCCCGCGTTGTCCGTGGTCTTTGTCTGTGCTAGTGCCTCAGAAGCAGTGCAGAGATCGCCGCCCGTGTGAAGATCCTGCTGCAGGCCCCGGCCAGCCGGTAGAGATCGTAGGGGCCGAGGTGAGGAAGGTCGTCCATCAGGCCGAAGACCTTCTTGCGGCCCTGCGCCGGCCACACAGTCTCCTCGGCTACAGCTGCAGCCACATGCACCTTCAAGATGTTGCCGGTCTTGAGGGTTGTCACGAACCTGCAGCCAGACAGAAAGTACGCAAGGGACAGACTGTGTCAAAAAGCGATCCACGCCTCGGGTCGTCGGCCATGGTCTGGACTCCTGGATGCTCTTGAGGACGAGAATGGCTGCGGTGGCTTTCTCGCAAGTCCTGATTCGTAAATGCCTTGGTTGTGAAGAAACCGCAGAGCGGCAAGGATGCGGCAGCCGCCCCGAAAAGCAAGAAGAGAATTCACAAAGTACATATCATTTTGCTAAGGAAACCTAATAGAAAGAATCCAAGCGTGCAGAAAAAGGCCAAATTCAAGGAAAGACACACACGTACGACCACACGCAAGTGACCGCGAGACATGTCAGGGTATGGATAGGTGCAGCCCAGAGGCGAGAAAATACATGAATTTTCGTGTTCGTCCAAAACCTTGTGCGGCAGGCACCAAAGTCCTAAGGTAAAAACCCAAACCGATTTACGCAGAAACATGTGGGTGACTAACCGCAAAAGGTTTTGTAGGGAGACTGCGTCCCAACCTTAAAGGGAAAGCAAAAAATGGCAAGAACGAGCCAAAAGTAGATAGCGAAAAAACGGGCGCAAAGGTGAAAAGTGACGCCATTTCCGCTGGGAGGGCCCAGCACCAGAATCCCAAATTGTTTTTTATATAGCAGTCACTAATGACCGCGAAAGGCGGCCACCCGGAGCGCACAAAAAAAGCGAGCGGAGCTGGCGTGGGAAGCTCGCTGCAGCTGTCGGTGCACGCGTGAGGTTTTGAAAAATCAAGCAAAACCCCCAACAAAAGCAAGAAAACGAAAACGCGCAGTCACTCTAATATCCTAAATTGGCGTCCCGGGGCGGCCCCGGGACAGTGTCCCGGGGGTGTCCCGGGGCGTCCCGGGGAGGGCCTGGGACTCCGGTCGTGGGGCGTCCCGGGGGGGTCCCGGGACAATTGTCCCGGGGGGGGCCCGCGACTCCCCGAGACAACCCGGGACAATGTCCCGGGGGGGCCCTGGGACAACTGTCCCGGGGGGGCCCTGGGACAAGCGGAGTTTGCGTATGAGAAGTTACTACCTAAACGCTGAAGCCTGCAGGCATTAATCTTAAACCTAGAAGTAAACAAAATGATTTCTAAGACGAAAGTCCGACGGTTTGTTCAGCAAAAGCTACGTCTTCAAATCAACAAAAGCATTATAGTCTGTTTTCGTGCACAAGCGGCTCATGGAGCCACAACGTCCAAAGCAGTGTTTGGGCTTCGCGGAACGTTTTTCAAGGCGGCAAGCTAAAAAACAGCATCGATGTGCGAAGTCCATTTTTTCATTGGCAAAGGCTAATGGCGGGAATCTAAGCGTGCAGAAAAAAGAAAAATTCAAGCAAGTAGGTGGAATGTGCGGCGCCCGAAAAGAAGCATTTTAGGAACAACTGGTGTTTCGATAGCGAATTGGCTTACACCGCAGCCAGATCGGTTCAAAAACGGCGGCAAGAAGCGGCCAAGTGCAGGCAAGTGACGCCGGACGCGGTCTAGACAGCGTCCGGCGCCGCATGAAATCGAATTCGATAGCTGTGGTTGCTATCGTGAAGCGACATCGTGACCGCAAAGTCAGCTGTTGCGGTTGGTGCTTTCTTTCTGTAAATAGCTATCTTGACCGATCCATTGGTAAAAACAACACATGTTTTAAAAGTAGCGTTGGTAAAAACAACACATGTTTTAAAAGCGGCGTGGATGGCTTTGAGGTGCTGGACTTCGTTGGCCTGTCCAGGTCTTTGGACGTGCCTGGATGGTTAACCTTCTGCTGGCTTTGTTGGTGATCGACTATTGAGGAGATTCAAGTCATGACATGTAACAGATGTGCTTGCTGTCGTCAAGCGATGGCGTGACCGCAGCCTCAGCTGTTGGAGGTAGTGTTTCTGTCTTGACATGAAGGTTGCAAAATTAACGATTGTTGTTGGGATGTGGCTTGCGCAACGAGTTTTAGAGTATAGTAGTTGCTTCTAGGGTTTTAAGGCATAGTTGGTTGGCCTTTAGGGTGTAGGAAGAAACTGTATATTTTCCTAATGTTTGGGGATTCTTTGGGCGGGTGGGTTTTTTACTACTACACTGCTAACCTAGTGATTTCTTAGCCCAGCTAATCGTAAACCCTAAACCCTAAACCCTAAACCCTAAACCCTAAATTTTAGAGGCTGCGCCTTGTATGAACGGCCTTTAGCGGCGCAGCCGAGGTGCGCCAGCGCAGCAATTGGTTATGAAACTTAGGACTTGGGCTTATGCAAATGAGCTTACTTAAATTCCTTGGGCTTTGTATGTCAATGTACTTAAACCCCACTTGGGGCTATACTTGTGAATTCATTTAAACCCCGCTTGCGGTTATATAGGTCCATTCAATTACACCTTGCCTGAGGCTATATATGTCAATCTATATAAACTTCGCTCGGAGCCATGTATGTCTGGGCCTATATATGCCAGTCTATTTCAATCCGGTTTGGGGCTGTGCATGTCTTAAACCTCGTCTGGGCCTGTGTGTAAGAATTCACTATAACGGTGATTGCGCCTATGTATGTATGTGACTTTACTTAAACCCGTCTGGCCCTATGCATGTCAATTTACTTAAACTCCGTTTGGGGCGAAATATATCGATTTAATCAAACCCCGCTTGGGGCTGTATATGTCAATTTACTCAAACCCCTGGCTTCACATGTCAATTTACTTAAACACCGTCTCTTGCTTCGCCGCTTCATATGTCAGTCTACTTAAAGCCCGTTATGATAATGTACTTAAACCCCGTCTTTGACTTCATATGTAAATATACTTGAACCCCGTCTCTGGCTCCTTATATCAATTTACTAATTCCCGTCTTTTACTACATATGTCAATTCACGCAACCACCATCTTTACCTCCGGAGAGGTGTGAATACATTGAAGTGAAAAGCACCCGGAAAGATTTAAGTAAAGTGGAGGTTGAAGAGTTCGCGGGAAGGTTTCAAGTGAAAGGAAATACAAGCCCCGCAGAGGTTTAAGTTAATTGAATTGAAGAGCTTTCCGATATTTCAACTATCTTAAACCTCTGCGTGCAATGACTGCCCGGTTTCGTGCGACTGGCTCCAGACCCATTCGCCCCGTGTCTTCAATGGCAACATATTATAGGTATAGGAGAAGGTTTACACTTTATTCTAGGTTTCATGTACGTACATATATCGATAAATTTATAGATGCACAATATGTGAAAAGATTTCGGTTTAGCTACAATGAACAAGCTGGAAAATGCAGAGATATACTGATACAGACACGAATATAGATCATACATGTGTATAGCTGTATATATGTATTGAAACGAAAAATGTATTCAGATATGTTCATATATATATATATATTCATATGTGACATATATACATATATGCATATGCAGAAAAATAGAAAATATCTTTCAAAAAAAGAGATCCACACAGCATAGATCTAGGTATAAAAGACAGAAATGTGTGTATATGTAGTATGTATGTATATATAGCAGAGATATTTGCTATATATATATATAATTACAAACAAAGACTTAAATATAAATCAAGATATAGATACAAATGAAGATATATACATATATACAGATTCAGATATAGATATGGACATAGATATAAACATAACATACGTGCATGAATTGTTAGAAATATCGGCAAATAAATTCGAATAGCATATATAGTACATGGCTATCTGTGTATATATACTGAACCAGATTCACATGTATAGTATAGAAATCATTATTATCAACATGTGTTTGTCGGTATGTGCATATATACATATATGTAGCACTATAGATATAGCCATGGATATGGGGATAGATATAGGTTTAAATATAGGTTTAAATATACGTATAGATATACGTATAGATGTAGGTTCAAGCATAGGTATAGATATAGGTATAGATATAGGTATAGATATAGGTACAGATATAGGTATAAGTATAGATATAGGTATAGATATAGGTATACGTATAGATATACGTATAGATATAGGTATAGGTATATATATATATAGGAATAGATATAGATATTGACATTAGTATTGACACACACAGAGATATAGATGCAGATACTAGTATAGATATCGATGCAAATAGAATATAGATATAGTTAAGATATAGATGCGGATAAAGATATAAGTATAGACAAAGGTATAGATATAGGTAAGACAGGCACAGATATAGATATAGACTTAGACACAGACCTGCATGCAGATATAGATCTACGTGAAGATGAAGACATACAGGCATGAACTAATTCAAATCGATAAAACCATGAAGATATAGATATGGGAGCAGATATTGAAACAGACATAGATGTAGATATAGTCATGCAATTATGTAAAGTTAACTACGAAGTTCACCGCTTTTGAGGAACTGCATGCACACATAAGCAGAGAGAACGAGGTACCGATGCTCAGACATGCGAATATAGGTACAAACAGATGATAAATGCCTAGATATGGCCGCAATTGACTTCAACGTGGCCCCCCAAAGCTGATTACTTTAATTTACTAAAACCCGGTTCCTGTTATGATCTCGAGAAGAACTGGTGCGGACTTAAGCTTGCTTTAGATTTCGATCCACGTTGTCCCAAAACTACATCTTCAATATGACTCGTCATTTGCAAAGTATATGAGAGGTGAAGAAAATATATCATATTTACATATGCATATATATATATATAGAGAGAGAGACATGTAAAAGGAACGATAGGCAGATACCTAGGGTTTTATACAGACATACGGGCTTATCTACATACATACATATATATATATTCGTATATATATATAATACATACCTAGATATACAGATATACAGATATTCATATATTTATTTATATATATATATATATATGTAGGCAGCTGTTTGTATACAGAGACAAATAGAAACATATTTATGGGTTTAGATACATCCACAAATTTGAGCATTGGTATAACTACATATACATACAGTTACGTGTACTCTAAAAATAAACTACGATATACATGCAGGCATAAACATATATTAATCTAGATAATTTATCTATGATTTTGGCTTATATTCATACATATGTATATACAGCTATGCACATATACATATAGACAGAAGTAGAGA